GGCCCCATACCCCGGGCCCTGTACTTATTGTACAGGGGCCCTTATGGTTGTGAATATATTATATAATGAAATACTCGGTGTACACTTGAAACAAGGTTATACACTGGCACGCTGCGCAACAAATTAGTTTCAGTGGGCCCCCAGATACCGGTGGGCCCTAGGCCAATGGCCAACTTGGCCTATTGGTAAATCCAGCCCAGATAATAATACAAAAAAACATGTTTTGTTTATTCTAAGAGATGGGCTGAGTGCATCTGGATAGACTCTCAGTCTTTTTAGTATTTTGTGTTTCTCACAAGTGCCAAACTAAATTATTCCATTGAAACAACATTTCGATTGAGTGCGAATTCGGTTTAAAGCGACCTCTCTTGGAACGCATCTCGCATTATATCGACGTTCTACTGTGTGTGTGTGTGTGTGTGTTAAATAATTAATAGATATTTGTACTTACGTTGTGGGTATTTCAATGCAGAAGTGACATTTACATCGTCACACTGTAGCTTACGTTTCACTGGGATGCTAGCAGTTGCACTAGATTCAGTGTTGTGGATGATGATGTACCCGGAGTCTCCTTGGCGACGTCTCTGGTAGGGCTTGATGGCTTTGACTATACGCCAGTTGGGCGCATAAAATTGCTTATTTCCATAGTGGACTAGAAACAAAGCAAACACACTATACACGCACGGGAATAATGCGATAATGTAAGCGTGTACACATGTTGTTCACAGCTGAAACGGGCTCATGACTGACTCCTGGGCCACAACTTGGTCATTTATATGAAGAAATCAGTGGTCCTGAGGGTCATGTCAGGTCATAAGCTGAGCTTATGACCTGATATGACCCAAAATTCCACGCACAAGTATGTCTTATAATCAAGCTGCTTGTGTTTGACTGTATTAAGATTAAATATGACAGGTAAGGAAAGGAGATGACAGCTGATCAAAGACACTTCAGACGAGCAGCTTGGGCTTCGAAGGGGGTTTCCGGGCAACCAGGAAACCCCCATGGATATGCCCCTGACAGTATGTCCCGTTCAGTGATATTCTGCTTTCATGATGGTCATGAATTAAGACCATCTCGCGATACAGTAATATCTCATTTAGCCGGAATCCCTCAAACCCGGAATTCTCTGATAGCCGGAATTGAAATTTTCTCAGAAAATCGTTCTTAAAGCCAGAATTTTCCGGAAGATACCGGCTTTGGGAACGATTTTCCGAAGGGTACATTTTCCGGAAAATTCTAAGAAAATTTTCCTGATACCCGGAAAATTCCGGGGATGGGGGAATTTTTTCCAGGTTTGAGAGAAGATGTAATGGGCAATTTCTGGAACTTCCGAGAATATTTTTTCGTTTCTCGGAAAATTCCGGGGATGAGGGATTTCTTTTTCCGGCTTTGAGAGAGTCCTCTCGTTACCTGGAAATCTCTCATTCCTGGAAGTGATATAGTCCAGAATGCGACATCTAGCTTTATACCTAGGTATGTAAGTGCCTAGCATTAACTTGCCAGGTCAACAAGCAGGCAATTAAAACATCTAATAATTACCGATATCCATTGGTTGTAATTTTTTTTTCTCGTGCTAAAAAAGGGTTGTATACAGGGTGATTCAGCAAAGAGTACATTAAATTGGAGGATGAAATGCTTGGATAATTCTAAACCACAATGTCTCTATGGTAAAATGTCAGATTCTGCATATGCCCATGTGTTCGTGACAGGTGCGAGCAAATTAAACATAGTCCAGGTATTCTGGAATGGGTCAGACAATCAATGGTACAGCATGTACAGGCCTGTATTGAGGCAGAAGGGGGCAACTTTGAATATTTCCTGTGAATAAGTTATTACAAAAACCTATGGGGGTTTCACTTCAAATTCACTCTCATTAATACAACATCTTGAATGTATTGTGACATAGAAACTATGCAGAATATGATATTTTACCATAGAGACATTGTGGTTTAGAATTATCCAAGGATTTCATCCTCCAATTTAATGTACTCTGAATCACCCTGCATACTCAAATTAATTGCTGTCTTGCAAGGATTTCAGCAATGCAAATTTAATTTTTCTGTCAAGTCAGTGACATTTTATAAGGAAACAATATTTTACCCTATGCACCACCATAGGGAACGCATCTCTCGCTGCACTTGTCAACCACGGTAATATCTACCCATGTGCTGCCTCACGGCCAACCCGCGCACTACAATTCTGTGCTTGGTTCTTTGTCGATCGCATCTGCCAGTCATCGTGTAGCTCCATGATTATTGTTCAGCATCATTGTTTGTATTTACATTAAACAAAAGCTTCTCGAACACCTGGGCACCATGGATGTGAGAGTGAGCAGAATAGGGTTCGTCATCTTGGAATTCTTTCAGAGTCTTCGTTCATTTTTCCGATTGCATAGTGCTTATAGTGTTCGAGAAGTTTTTGGTGTGAGTGTAACATGTACTGATCATATTTTTTTTTTTTTTTAGTTAGAGGAGAGCACTAACATTTACATTGAACTGTGTTATGGTGACTGAGAAGTGTTTTATATATATATATATATATATATATATATATATATATATATATATATATATATATATATATATATATATATATATATATATATATATATATATATATATATATATATATATATATATATATATATATATATATATATATATATATATATATATATATATATATATATATATATATATATATATATATATATATATATATATATATATATATATATATATATATATATATATATATATATATATATATATATATATATATACACACACACACACACGTGACTGTAAAGTGCTTCGCCTCTGTTTTGTGAACATGTGATCTGTGTCGGCCTCCCAGAGACTGTGTGGGAGTGAAGTCTACACTCCACCTACAAGAGTCCCCTTAGCCTTGAAGGGGACATGTGATGATGACTAGGCCTGTTCTTCATGATGTGGTGAGTGTTGTTTAACTGTTTTCTTTTGATTTTATGAGTGTAGGAATTTTTTTGTCGGTGATACACGTGTGTGTGGGGACTGGCTGGAAATGTAGTGTATTCCGTTGAGCCCAAGGTATAATACTTTTTACTTTTACCCTCTTCACCACTGATCGGCTCATTAGCCACTTGGGCAGTCGGTCACTTTTCTTACGTACTGTCGGCAAGTACTGGGCATGCACTGGTTCCTGAATGTATCTAAAGCTGCTCCAGTGTTGGCCAAGTCTGGCCTTGAATGAGATCACACTCGGTGCCGTCACAACACTCTGTGGTAGATTGTTCCAAGAGTTCGCAATTCTCATTCTGAAAAAAATTGCCCTCACAGTTTTCTGGACTTGTGGCTTCTTCAACCTTGAGCTGTGACCCTGTGTGGGGCGGACGTCCAACAGTTCCAATGATCCAGATCTACAATATTTCACTTAGTGGTGGGTTTTTCAGGAACCTAACCCCATTGTTTATCGAGGTTTTCCTCTGTGTGTGTGTGTGTGTGTGTGTGTGTGTGTGTAATAATAATAATAATAATAATAAACGGTTTATTAATAGAGTTGCAGCCGATGGCTGAAAATATACAGACTTACATTTGATTTAGACGTGTGTGTGTGTGTGTGTGTGTGTGTGTGTGTGTGTGTGTGTGTGTGTGTGTGTGTGTGTGTGCGTGCGTGCGTGCATGCATACCACCTCCAATTCTAAGCCGCAGAGTGAGTTGGATAAATTTCATGCAAAAAAGCTTGGCCTTTGATATTAAACTGCACCCCAAAGCTGGAGGGGTCAAAATCATAATCACATTCAAAATTGTTCATAACACAAGAGATACACACTGTATACAGTATATGATATTGAATGCTGTACTTGTGTACATATACTCACATTAGAATACAGTAGTTGATTGGGGTAACAAATTTTTGGTGAAAAGTATGCAACGACTGTACGTAACAAAAGGAATAGGTGTGGCAACAATGCCAGGAAAAAATCTTTTTAGGAGTAGGACTTGAGAGATTATCTTGCCAGTTATAGACAGCAGCAAGATCCTGCGGTAGTTGCCACAGTCTGAACGGTCTCCCTTATTCTTTTAGATATTGCCAATGGTGACATCTTTAAGATCTTGGAGGATTTCCTCCTCCTCCCATATTTATATTGGTCGGGAGAGAGTGGAGACAGCTGGTCAGCAGGGATCCTCCTGCTATATATACCTCAGCTGGGATTCCATCAGGTCCTTTGGCTTTGTTACTTGTCATCCGCTTGATGGCAGTAGCTACTTCATTACAGGATAGAGAATATTTGAGATGGGCCAGCTCTGGGTGCCATAGGACTGCTGGGTAATCAGGACATCCACATCGGTGTTTCGGTTGAGCAGGGAATAGTAGTGCTCTTTCCAGCGCCGAGGGATGTCCTTTTCAGCTTTAATTATGGGGTCACTGTTACCGTTGGATGAGCAGAGAGGGGCCACTCCATGAGTAGTTGGGCTGTAGATTGTTTTAGTGGAATTGAAAAATTTGCTTGTGTTGATCTGCAAATTTTTGCATTTCATGTGATTATTTAGTCCTTTGCCTTTTACTGGTGGAAAGTATCAGCTTTGGTTTCACACTGAGATTTTTGTTTCCAGTCGGTGAAGGCAGCATGTTTACCAGAGAGGAGTACATCAATTTACACACACACACACACACACACACACACTTACGCATGCTCACATGCACTCACGGCTCTTTAGCTCTGTTAAACTAGATTCTGTCAATATTAAACAAAGAGTACAAAGTGCACCCAACTTGATGCTTGAACCAGTGCCATAATAGCTCAACAGTCTTTGATCGTATCATTCAAGCCATTTAAAGAAAGCATAGATTAATGAAGTACTGTACTGTAACTAATTAACATATACTGTCCTGATGGCCTATATTAGTTTTCTCATAAAGCATTATGAAGGGCAGAGTACATGTACTCTTTTCTCTCATAAAACCTCATTTCCTCAAAAGGCATACCATTTCACATCAGTTAAAAAAAATTCAACCCCCTTCATCTATTTTATAATACAAACATAGAAAATAACTGTGTCAATAACTTTGTCACAAGTGAATCATAAAAAAGCATTGGTAAAAAGTGAATCTTACACTATATTTATCAATATGAAGATGATGGCACATGGGTCACCACTGTCTTTCTGCTGTACTTTACAGGTAGTTTCCAATTTGTAACTAAAGAACAAATACAATAAATCGAAACATGTGACATACAACTTAACTAACACAAATGATTGTTATACTAAATTGAAAACCACCATTTTCTATGTACAGTATACTGTATATTTGCAAGAATTATGGTCACTGCTCAACTCTGGAAATGCACGGACAGTCGGACATACATCACCTCCAGTGATTGTTTAGTTTTTCTAAGGTTTTCTTGGCTATTCCCTTTACTTACTGAGACAGTTTCTTCCATTCTTCTCTATTTACCCTCTTTTTGGGTCCCCATGTATCTTTGGGCTGGAACACATTCTTCACTTTCTGTAAGTAATCAAGACAGACTGGTTATTAGACATTTATGTTTACTGTATTGTGTATAGTTGTCTCTCTCAAAAAAAAAAAACTTTTTACAGGAAATTAAATACTGTACAAAAAACAAAATTTTCATCAACTTATTTAAGCTAAATGAAACTAGCTTAATCAAAGCTTTCACATTATTGAAAATGTATTTATAATGGACCTGAAAAAATAAGGAGGAGCTTGGCGCAAGAGAAGTTAATTATGTATTATGAAATGTTTGGGGATAAAGTGATTATTTCACCAAACTGAGCCTAAGTTACCCTACCTAGATTTCCTGTACAGGGTACTACAGTACTGATGGTACATAATGACATACATGTGGGTAAACAGATAGATAGATAACTAGATAGTGTTTATTAGGGAGGGTAAGTGTGAAAATACTTGGGAAGGCATAGTTCTTTCGCAATTTTTTATCGTGTACAGTAAAACACCCTCAAAAGTCCTGATTTCAGATGGTTTGGACCCTTTCTGGGTGAGAAACATTTGTACAAACCCTTAAATATTTGTCGTTTGAAATTCCCGCTTCGTGGGGTCATTTGAAATAGCCGCCAGCTAGCAAGAACTTGACCCCTTTCCTCCTCTCGGACACATGAGTGAGCAGTTTATTCCTCACTCTTAGAATGGACTTGCTGATAATGCTGCACTGTAATTAGTTAGCTATAAGTTTAACACACATTCAGCCACAGAAAATTTTTAAGATTTGGGGTAAAATAATTCAAACAAGGATGATAGTAATCCTCCCGAGAAGAGAGTGGATGATTAGCACGTATTGCCATCATCCAAGTCACACACACACACACACACACACACACACACACACACACACACACACACTGGGTGCAGTCCATCTGTCTCCGTTATAATGAAGTCAAATTAGAAATTATATGTACAGGGTATTGTATTTTTTCTCTTTTTTTTTCTATTATTAATGATGAAACATACTGTACAGCATAAGAGGCTGATCATATGAGAATATAATGAATAAATAAAAAACAAACATGAACGCGGCAATATATAGTCCATCCCTCATCACCACCGACAGGGAAGAAATTACCTTCTGATTCTGGTTGTCATTATTTTATTTTGAAGTCGTTATATTTTGTATTTTATTCTATAACTGAATACTGTATATGTTATTTATGATGAAACATACACGACGATAGGCTGCTCATGCGAGAATAATGTACAGTGGTCCCTCGGTTAACGAGCGCCTCGGTTAACAAAATTTCGGTTAACGAGCTGCCTCCCATAAGATTCTTAAATTCGGTTAACGAGCAACCCCTCGGTTAACGAGTTTCTTACGAGCCGACCTCAACATGTTTTCGCTTGCACTGGCCGGTCAACCAGCTGTAGTATTAGTCCACCAATACATAAATCGGCTCTAGGGCTTAAGTTCCTTACTATTTTAGTATATATCAAGAAATTTATACTATTCAATAATTTTAAAAGTTTAATATTCAATTTTTTTAGTCATTTTAACAATTATTGAACATAAGTGAAGGTAAAGTGATTAGTTTAATGCGCGGCATGCAGCCTCTTTAACACAGCAAACAGGCGTTAGTCTCTCTCTGTTTTCACTGGAGGTAACATCTTGCTTGAGACTCTCTTCAACTAAATGCTTTTTTTCTGTGTTTCCAAGCAAATTATTGGTCATTTTGAAATTTATTTTACATATTGACAATATATAGCGCAGTGCAGTGTTATTTTAAAGAAAATATTCTTTATTTACAACAAGTTTAACTTTGAAAAACACATGTTGACATTGTTTGAATCCAGCATGGGGCCTAAGAGATCAAGAAAAGCTATTTCAATCCAAACCAAGCAGGAAATCATAAAAAAACATGAACAAGGCATTAGAACAAATGTGCTTAGCAAATAATATGGCATGTCGACATCAACTGTGTCGACAATTCTTGCACAGAAAGACAAATTTAAAGAAGTGAAAGTGAGAGACAAATCTACAAGAGTGTTAAAAAGTAGATCCCTAATCGCAGAAACTGAGAGGTTACTTATCATCTGGATTAGGGAAAAACAGATGAAAGGTGATTCAGTTTCTACTGAATTCATTTGTGAAAGAGCCAGGGAGATTTACGAACATTTAAAGGCAGATCAACCTGGTTCTTCAGGCACAGAATTTGAAGATTTTCGGGCCAGCAAAGGCTGGTTCGAAAAATTTAAGAAAAGAAGTGACATTTTCAGTGTTGTTAGGCATGGTGAAGCTGCTAGTGCTGATAAAGAAGGGGCAGCAAAGTTTTTAGATGAATTTAAAAAACTGATGGAAGAAGAAAATTATCTTCCATAGCAAGTGTTCAATGTGGACGAAACTGGGCTGTTCTGGAAAAAGATGCCCAAAAGAACATTCATCACCAAAGATGAAGCCTCTTTACCTGGGCATAAACCCATGAAAGACCGTCTCACTCTATTGCTTGGTGCCAATGCTTCAGGGGATTTCCGACTGAAGCCTATGCTTGTCTACCACTCTGAAAACCCCAGGGTGTTCAAGCAACAGAAAGTGGTAAGAACAAAGCTTGGAGTTTATTGGAAGTCCAACCGTAAGGCATGGGTGACAAGACAGCTCTCTAATGAATGGGCTGTTGATGTGTTTTGCCCTTCTGTCAAGAGCTACCTAACCACCAATAAACTCCCTTTAAAGGCTCTTCTCCTCATGGATAATGCTCCTGGTCATGACCCTGACCTTGCCAGAAATTTGGAGTATCAATTTGACTTTGTGAAAGTGTTGTTTTTGCCTCCCAACACTACATCAATCATACAGCCAATGGACCAGAATGTGATCAGCATCTTCAAGAAGTTGTACATGAAGAAAATGTTTAGGTGTCATCAGGCAACTTCCACTGATCCTGAACTAACACTGAAACAGTTCTGGAAGACACAATTCAACATCCTGGAGGCTGTAAAATTGATTGTGTCATCATGGCAAGAAGTCTCCACTAGATCCCTCAATTCTTCATGGAAAGCACTGTGGCCATCTGTAGTCCATGATTTTGAGGGATTTGAGGAAGAAACAGAGTTGGACCAGGAGATTGTGTCCATTGGTCAGTCATTGGGCCTTGAAGTGGAGGAGGAGGATGTGGAAGAGCTTGTGATGTCTCATGAGGAGGAACTTACTCCTGATGACTTGAAGCAACTGGATGAGATGTTACAGGTAGAGGCTGACAGTGGTGAGGAGGAAATGGAAAGTGATGACCATATGTCAGCTAAACAGTTGAAAGATGTGATTTACTACTGGGAGAAGTTCAGGGAACTGGCTTCAAAGCACCCAGAAGTGGAAAAAACTGAACTAACTTTGTGTCATGTTGAGGACTCAGTGGTCTCCTTCTTTAAAGATAAGTTAATGGTGAGGAGGACAGATGCCCCACAGACCACAATTGACACTTTCTTCAGTAAAAGGCAGAGGGAACAAAATGCTATCCCTCAGCCTTCCACTTCAAGAAGGAGAGAGGATGTTCATGGTGGAGAATCTGTCAGTCCAGAGGTTCCTGACATTTTCATGGAAGGTGACTCACCTTCCAAGAAGCAGTAAAATGCTTCTCCTCCACCTCCACTTCCTTCTCTTCTCCCTTCTCCTCCTCCACCTCCCACTTCAAATGCACATCATCATCATCATCCAGGAGCCTTCTACATACACACCTCAAAGTAAGTGAACTTTTCTACCATTTTTGTTGAATTTAGACAATTTTCGGTGAGCTGGAACCAATTACCCAAAAACCCATTGAAACAATGGTTTTGGTTAACGAGATTTTCGGTTAACGAGCAATCTGCTGGAACGGATTGTGCTCGTTAACCGAGGGACCACTGTATAATAATGAATAAATAAAAGTAAACTTGCGATCGTCACAATGGCCAGTCCCATCCCTCTCCCACCTCCAAGGGTTTTACACAGTGGCCCCTCGGTAAACGAACGGTTCGGATAAGGAATTACCTTCCATAAGAGTCTTCAATTCGGTTAACGAAAAAAAATTTGATTAACGAAATCCTTACGAATGTCACGTTTTGTTGTAAGCATCAGCTGATGGGTAAGTCTGCCAATTCAGTAATCTGTTCTATGTTTACATTCATTTCCAGTGGAGTAAATATCAAGAAAGTTGTGCTCTTTAATATTTTTGCATTTTTTATATTCAAATTATTACTGTAGTTATTTTAACATATTGATAATATATGCAGTACAGGGAACTAGTTTTTTGTGCGCCCATCAGATGCGTGAGTCGGCCACAAAGCATCAGTTGAGCTTTGAAAACAGTGGAGAGAGCATCTATTTTGTTGGTGTCGTATATTTTTGCACTTTTCATTGAAATTATTGGTCATTCTGAACTTTCGTTAACATATTGATAATATATAGTGCAGTGCAGTGTTGATTTAAAGAAAATAATCTTGAATTACACCTAGTGAACTTCAAATTTTATTGGTGAAATGACTGCATCAAGCATGGGTCCCCTGAAAAGTGATTTCTCCTCCATCCCCACTTCCTTCTCTTCTCCATTCTCCTCCACCTCCACTTCTATATCCCATCATCATCGTCAATCAGGAACCTTCTACATACACACCTCAAAGTAAGTGCACTTTACTGCATTTTTTTTTACCTTGTATGTACTTTTCGGTGAGCTGAAACCAATTACCCAATATCCCATTGAAATGATGTACAGTATTCAGTTTATGAAATTTTCGGTTAACGAACGACCTTCTGGAACGAATTGTGTTCATTAACCGAGGGACCACTGTACTTTTACTTTTACCGTCTTCGCCACTGATCTGCTCATTAGCTACTTGGGTACTCGGTAACGTCTCTTTTACGCACTGTTGGCAAGTATTGGGCATGCACTGGCTTCTGAATGTATCTGAACCTGCTCCAGTGTTGGTCAAGTCAGGTCCTAAAAGAGCTCACCCTCAGTGCCGTCACAACACTTTGTGGCAGATTGTTCCAAGAATTCACAATTCTCACCTCAAAAAAGTTTGCCCTCACAATTTTCTGGATTTGTGGCTTCTTCACTTTGAGCTCTATACATACCTGGAGCAGGTGTCTGCCAGTTCCAGGTATGTACACTCGCCGAGTAGTGCCCTCTGAGACGTTCATACACTTCAATTAGGTCACCCCTTGCCCGTCTGTAATATAAGTTAGTCAGTTGCAGGCGTTCTAATCTCTATGGGTAGTTGAGGTGCCGTAGTGCAGGCACCATTCTGGTGGCCCTCATTTGGACATTTTCAGTCAACTGACAATCCCTAGCATATCTTGAGGACCAACGAGGAAGCACCCCACTCTTGCAGATCGTTACGAGGGATGGACCATCTAGATATCTGAACAACCTTCTTAGAAGACCTACTAGTTTAGTTGCTTGATTCATCTTTTTCTCACAATGGCCCGAGAACTTCAGTTCATTGTCAACATACACACAGGTCCTTTTCACATTCAGTCTCTATTAATGCAGTTTCTTCATCCTGTTGGGACATGTGATATGCCTCCTTACTGTTGGTATGATCTAGGTGCATTCTCTTACACTTAGTAACATTGAAGCTCACAAATATCTTCTGTAGTTCTTCACAATCTGTTTGGTTCTTAATTCCCGGGGGAGGGGGCTTCAAATGAGTGGCTATTTCGTGCACAGTGACCCGAGAATCCCCCTTTAAATAAAAAAAAAGTCCTTACTTTTGGGGGTTTACTGCACTAGATATAAGAATTGAAACCAGGTGTTTATCTGTCATAAAGTTTTTTTTTTATCCTTTTTGGCACTTATCGGTTTACTAGCCGTTTTGGCATTCTATTCAGTGTTAGTACAGGAGGACACTGGGGACCGGGAAACCTGTGATGTTTGATAGGGTCACACTGAATAACACCCTTCTCCCGTGTGTGCAAAAGTAGCAGTCTCCTTGGTATTTGACCAGGTGGCTTGGAGGTGCCGGGGATCGAACCCGGGGTCTTTCAAATAAGATAATGATATACAGTACAGTACTGTATCTTCATTTGAATATAAGGTACATTATACAGTACTGTATCAATTATTTAAATATTTGATGAATGAGAATAGACTTCTAACAAAATTAAGAATTACTCAACTAAGATGGCATACAAGAAATATACCTAATGTTCAGATTCCAGTGAAGAGTTAAAAGACTTACATTGATCTTACAGGATTTATAAAGATACCTCATAGCCAGATAAGACTAACCTCAGAAAAAGTGCTCTTGCCATTATTGTACACTGCATGGAAGAAACATAGGGGCACCATACCTAGAGATGCTACTGCCAGGAGCCACCCACATACTGTTGGCATAAAGGTAAAATTATTGTTAGGCACCAATTAGTAAGCTCATTATTTACTAACACTGCAGCTTCTTGTTGCCAGTAAATATCTCCATCATTAATTCCTATTTTCCAACAAAGCAAATATACACGTGTTTTTTTTAAATCCCTTTCACTCAAAAAGTTCAAACCAAATATACTGTAGTGTAGTTCCTGTACTATTACCAAGTCCATTGGTTTAGCATTAAACTTGACATAAATTTTTTTCTGGCACTGCCCAATAATCACTTATGCTACTGCTCAACTTCTAGTTTTCAAGAATACCCTATAAATTACTGTACTGTATATTGTTTTTTTACAATATACTCTACATGTACAGAGGTGTTGGCGTAAATAAATACAGCTCCGCAAGAGATGCGAAGTTTAGACACAGGAAGACTGTCCTCATTGTAGGGTTCTGTTCCTGAGGATTTTCGTAAGTTGGATTTGTACATAAATCGGAAAATATGCTATATGCATACCGTACTTTCAGAACACTGTTAAAAATCCCACTATATCATAGCCTGAGTCCTTATATACAGTGGTCCCTCGGTTAACGAATGGTTCAGTTAACGAAATTTCGGTTAATGAATTACCTTCCATAAGAATCTTCAATTCGGTTAACGAACAAAAATTTGATTAATGAAATCCTTATGAACATCACGTTTTGTTGTGAGCATCAGCTTATCAGCTGATGGGCTAGTCTGCCAATTCAGTAATCTGTTCTATGTTTACATTCGTTTCCAGTGGAGTAAATATCAATAAAGTTGTGCTCTTTAATATTTTGCATGTTTTATATTAAAATTATTAGTAATTTTAACATTTATTTAACATATTGATAATATGATAACTAGTTTTTTGTGCGCCCATCAGCAGCTTGACTCAGCCACAAGGCGTCAGTTGAGCTTTGAAAACAGGGGAGTGAACATCTATTTTGTTGGTGTCTTGAATATTTTTGCATTTTTCATTGAAATTATTGGTCATTCTGAAATTTAGTTAACATATTGATAATATATAGCGCGGTGCAGTATTGATTTAAAGAAAATAATCTTGAATTACACCTAGTGAACTTCAAATTTTTTTGGTGAAATGACGGCATCAAGCATGGGTACACTGAAAGGTGATTTCTCCTCCATCCCCACTTCCTTCTCTTCTCCCTTCTCCTCCACCCCCACTTCTAATTCCCATCATCATCATCAATCAGGAACCTTCTACATACAGTACACACCTCAAAGTAAGTGTACTTTACTGCATTTTTTTTTTTTTTACTTTGTATGTACTTTTCGGTGAGCTCGAACCAATTACCCAATACAGTATCCCATTGAAACAATGGATTCGGTTAACGAATGACCTTCTGGAACGAATTGTGTTCGTTAACCGAGGGACCACTGTACATTTAAAATCACTTAATTTAGGACAAAAGAAGAAATAGAATGACAAAATACAGTATATGAAAGTAAAAAATAAATCGGATAAATAAAATACAGTACTGTACTGTACTGTAAATTTAAAGTTTAACCCCATTCGTATTGGCGGGTGTTCATAAGTCGGGGACCTCCTGTACTGAACAAATTTCAGTATTGGATGAATTTTGGGGTTTTGTTGTATACCGTACCAAAAACCTTCCTATACCGAACTGACTACTCACCAATTATTTTGATATAGAGAGGTAAAACTCTATTAATGCATAAACTGATTTTGGAATTTCAGAGAACTAAAGTATGGCTTTCCGGAGCTCTGGAAACTATTAAGGCAGTACAGTATATTGAGTGAAAAACTACAGGGCTGCCAAAGCAATAGGAAGCTGTGGTTAGTATTTGAAATTACTTGGTATTAAATCTTAAGATGCCACATTACATCTTTTTGTTGACACTACATGGATGGGAATTGACTGAATGTATACTGCTCCAATACATGGATGGAAAGTAGCTGTATAAACTGCATTTTAGAAACTAAATTTATGCTGACAGTAGCCTAACAGTACATTAAAAGGGGCTAACCACACAAACTATTCAATTTCTTGTGTATATTGTACTGCATATTGATATACAGTACTGTACTAAATGTAGAAAGATTGTAAATCATTTGAAATATCATGGATTAAAACTCACAATAGGCTGAGTCTGGGTAGGGTTTATTCTCGAATGTAGGAAGGGTGAAGTCAACCAGACTGTAGATTAGGATGGCAGTCAAACCCACAGGGATGATGAATGCCCAGCAGAACTTCCAGTATAGTCCCAGTTCAATGTTGAGCATGAAGTTCAGGTCACTCAGGAAGCGTTTTGTACCTGCCATGTTGTGGTGAAAATATTTGGAGGTATTTAATGTACTCATAGAATTGTGGAAAAACACAGACATATATTTAGGGTACAGAACAATATTTTATGTATACTGTACTGTGCTGTACGGATATCCCTTGGTATACTTATGCCCAATAGACTAAAATTTGCCGTTATATACGTCACATTTTGCAACCTTTCTTTATGTGAGTAACCAATCACATAATGACACTTTTTCTTTTAAAGAAAAGAAATTTATAGCCATTACATAATCAAAATGGTTACCTAGGATGCACAGAGATGCATTTATGCTTTGCTGTACATTAGAGTGGTCTAAATAACTTATGTTTTAAATTTCAAAAGTCTCGTTCGCTGATATTGTTAATGTAATTGCCCTTAAGGCAATCTTGCAATTACGGGATAAGTAGACCCAAATATGATGACTCAATAATATAATTCGTTTTAAACCTGTCAAAGACAATCATTACAACATCAGTAAACATCAGTAAACATCAGTAAACATTTGATATAACATTCATTACCTTAACCTCATGAACTTAACACGATAATACAACTACAGTGGGATATTAAGAGCATCCATTAAAATAATGTACAGTAATTGAAACAATAATATGCTGGTAGTATCTCATATATACAGTACACTAATGTTCCGTAAACGGTTTTACATATTTTCGGGTCATAGAGGAGTAGGGTGTTCCCAATACGGCTTCAAAGCGTGTTCTGAGCCCTCCTAGCAGGGTGACGGGGTATGGCATCTGGTTAATATTGACAGACAAGCACATTCAGCATCTTCACCATATCAATACCTGGCAAGCCCTTTGCCTCACTCCTCTGATACAACATACCTTCTAACCTCGCTACCCAGTAATCGCAGAAACTTAAATATTTCCTGGTTTTTCTCATTGGCGGTAACACTCCCCCTGTTGAGTGCACACGCTCAAGAAGTAGCAGAAGTCGAATGTCGACACTCATAATCCAACATACATATCGGTAGCAGATCAGTTGACTGTAAGTGAAGTTCCCTCCAAATGACAAAGTCTTACTGCAGGGCGCACCATCGCACCGCGTACAGTCTTTACCTTGACGTGATGTACAAGTCCATCATCATCTGGATTTGCTTCACTTATCCTACCTAACGGCCGTTGATTTCTATGTGTGTGCTCTCCAGCGACGATGACCATGTCGTTGAGTTGAAAGCTTCGTCATGGAGTGAGCTGTTTTTGTCAACTGCGCAGTGGAGGCAAGTATTAAAAATGTGACAGTCTACCCTCAAGTTCGTGCTTTATTAATAAAGGAATAAAGCACGGAATGGAATTGATGGCAGACTCACATTTTTAATAAAATTGTTTCTGATTATTTGTGAGAGGATTTTCCAATTTTTATTTATTTGTACAGTATGTGTGTGTGTGTGTCTACACACACACATATACTGTATATACAATACAGATAAAAGAAATTACTTTTCTCTAGAACGAATGGCTTCCTGTCCTGGCCGCTAAAATGACGACAACTTTAAAACTACCCACAGACATTCTTGGGTACATCCAGGGTGTCATCCATGAATAATGGAGGACTGCAAACTAGGGAGGGTCCCCCTGTATTTTCTTTATATCTCAGCCACATTACAGTAATGTAATGATGCATACTTGGAGCACTCAATCCCCAGTTTTTCCGACTTCCCTCCCAAATTTTTCCTAGTGAGTCGAAGATCGCAATACCAAGAATTGACAATCGTTAAACAACAAAGGGTGTTAAAAAATATGAATCGTTAAACTGAATGATCACTAAACGAGGGATACCTGTATTTATAATTACAGTACAGTATGAGGTACAAATAAGAATTAACATCTACATCAGGTAAAAAATATAATTACATGCTTGGACCTTAGTCTGAAACCACTGTATTGGTATCTGTAATTTGAAAATGTCTATATTTGAACAATATTTTGCCCCAAGGATTTAGACTACGATAGAGATCTTTTGTGTGTGTGTGAGTGAGTGAGTGAGACATAATAAATCTTGCTTTCAAAATAATCATCAACAATTTTAGTCAAGAACACATCCTTTTAAACTTGTGAGGATCACCACCCTTCTCCTCCCCCTCCTCCCTTACCAGCAGTTTTTCAGAACCAACACATTATGGTCACTTGTGCAGCACAATACTGTAGATGATTTCTTTGGATAGTGTACGAAATATGAGTTGAACAACTTTCCTAAAGAGGATTACACAAAGCTACACATGTGAGGCCTACTGCAGATGGTATAATGTTACCTACTGCAGCTGAGTAGTATCAATTACTGTATATAAAGAAGAGAAGGTTTCAGTCCACTTTCAGGACACAAAATTATTGATTCCTTATAAAATGCAGTTTATAAGTACACTATGTATACCTGTTCACACAGATATACTGTACTGCATTTTTGTATGAATAATTTAGGAAAAATTATGAAATGCAGCAAACACTTCCTCCCATACAAAGCTGTTTTCACACATTCTGGAACCTTGTGGAGGATCAATACAGCATTACTTCTTAGCTATCTAAAATATGTGCACTATTTGTCTTTTTTTTCAGTTTAATTTTCTGGAATAGGTGATAAACCTGTCAGGAGCCAGGAGGTGGAAAATTATTCGGACACACTTCCCAGCCTCCCTTGGTCCCTGTTCACCTAGCAGCAAAGTAGGTACCTTCTGTAAATCGAAGTTGCAAATTCGTATTCAGGGACAAGTTGTTAGAGCTTCCAATAACTTGCTTAGACATAAACCATTGACTCTTCAGGCTTCTATGCCCTTGACCTCAGGCTTCTACACCCTTAACTCATGAGACATAAAGGCAAGCATGAACTTAGCATGCTTCCCTGTTGGGCGCTGTAAACGCTTCTGCTCTTCACCTTACACAAGGACGTAGGGGGGTGCCCAATAAAAAAAAAGAAAAAAGTAAGGCTATAGAATGCATACTTGTCAGTAATAATCCTTATGCAGCTATACAGTCAACCCTCACTTTACGCAGTTAATATAACCCACAGGGTACCGCGGAAAGTGAGAAACTCGTAAAGTGAACAACATAACATATGGGATTAATTGAAATAGAGACCGGGCCGACCCCCAAACTCCACTTTTTGACGACACACAACTATGTTGTAGTAAAAATTTTATCTTAAATTTATGATGATATGCACACACAATTAATATAGAAGAGGTTAGGTTAGGAAAAATAAAGGTTAAGTTAGGAAAAATAAAGGTTAGGTTAGGAAAACTAAAAGTTAGGTTGAACACTTACGTTAGTAGAAGAGATGGGTCGGCATACTGGGATGAAGGCTGGTTCCGAGGCAGAGGGCAGGCTACTGGCCCTCAGGTGAGTCACCATCACTGTCATCCAAACTTGTCAGGGAATCCCTGACAAATCCCTCGGAGTCATCTTCACTGTCTCTACCTCTGTCACTATTTTTTGGCCTGGGCTGGCTGTGGTGGGTTGCGGGCAAAGAACTCTGTTATGCTTTGCTGACGGCTGGTGTTTATGTTGTCGTGATAAACCTTGAAGTAGGGCTCCATAGTCTGCAACAGCTGGGTAGTGAAGATTTCATACCTGTTTGCGTCAGGGTCGTCGGAAAGGGGGAGCTTGACTTTCCCGATACACTCGATGGCACCCCTAACATTACTATGGGATAAGCGGTGTTCTTCTTGGGATGACGCACCACCTGCCTCTTCACTGACGTCATCATCATCTACCATCTCGTCGGTAGTCACATCAGGATCCCTTATCACCTCCAGGATGTCGTCGTTGGTGGTCTCGGAGAAGCCTGCAGCTGTAACACTCTGCGCAGCTTCTCTGGCAAGGTCCACTGCTACTGCAACAGTCTGAACCTCACCAGTCACAGATTGACTCTGCCTAACGGCCGGAATGCCTTGCAACACATGTCTCCATGCGTGACGAACAGTTGCTACAGACAGCTGATCCCATGCCTCCACCAAGAAGTCCACAGCTTTCTTGATGTTGAATATTCTCCAGAATTGTTTGAAAAGTATTTTTTGCTCTGCCAACTGTTGATCCTCGTCGTCTTCGCTCTTGCTATCGGTGGTGGTGTCACTCAGGTTACGCAACTCTTCCCTGGTGTTGGTGTAGTCGTTCAGGAGCTTGAATTTTTTAGTTGAGAATGCAGCTTTTACATTACAGATTAACTCTTGGTCCATGGGCTGTAATATAGACGTAGTGTTGGGAGGAAGGAAGACCACTTTTACGTTGGGGTGACGATCTAACAGTAGGGGCGAGTGTCCTGGTGCGTTGTCCAGCAGCAACAAAATCTTGAATGGCACATTCTGTTGCTCACAGAATTTCTTTACATCGGGAACGAAACAGTCATCAAACCAGGAGAGGGACAGTGTAGAGAACATCCACGCCTTACGTGCGGTCAGCCAGTGGACATTTAGCTTGGTCATGTCCATGCTCTTGTAGGCGTGCGGCTTGCGGGCTGTGTGGATCACTGATAACTTGAGCTTACAGGTACCGGAGGCATTGGTGGTAAACAGGACGGTGATGCGCTCCTTCTGCAACTTCCGGCCCCGAATCTTGCTGGCATTCTTCACAATGAAGGTCTTGGAAGGTAGCTTTTTCCAAAAAAGACCAGATTCGTCCATGTTAAACACCTGGTCGTCGGTGTACTGTCCTTCCTCCATAATCTCACGTAAAAACGGAGGAAATTCCCTAGCCGCAGCACGGTCAGCACTAGCTTCTTCACCACCAATGTTGATATTGGTGATCTTGTTCCGCATCTTAAACCTCTGTAACCACCAAGAGGAAGCATTAAAGGGTTTGGGCTCTGTAATTCCCATCTTTCGTGACACTGCAGCATACAGTTCACGTGCGTACTCCTTAACAGAGCGCGTGTCGACCTCCATGTTCCGTCGCGCCTGACGCACCAAGTAGCTCACAAGTAATTTTTCCGTCTTGAGAAGCACCTGGTTGTGGAAATACTTGATCATAGAAGCACCTGTAGACTTTGTGATCTTCATGTGCTCCTTTATCTTGGCTGCATCCTTCTTTATCGTCCGGATCGTAGATTCGTTCACACCATGCTGGCGCGCCAAATCAACCTGTCTTGTTCCTTTCTCTAACTCTTGGATGATCTTGTACTTCACCTCGTAGCTTAAGGAACGTCGTGTCTTCTTGGGCTTAGGGCGGCTGGGTCCAGGCAAGGAAAGGTTTCTCTCTGGGGGCGGTGGTCTGGCGGAAGCCATTTTACAGAACAATGGATGCATGATTACACGGTGTGGCCTGGAGGGATGAAACTGCCGCGGCTAGGTGAAGCGTCGTCTTTCCTCCCTCCCTCCCTCCCTCCCTTCCCCGGGTGGACACGTCATATTACTTTAAACCAATTACAGCTAGCAGCGGAGGGAGGTAGGGATGCATGGCCAATCACAGTCTGATACGTCATATGACGTCGCTGATAATGCAATGGAGACATGCACTGCGCAACCTTACCGCGCGGCTTGCCCAGGCTGAGGCGGGAGCAGGCGGGAGGGGCGAATCTAAAAATAGCGTCGAGCCGGACACTCTCCGCGTAAAGGGGTACATGCACCGCGGAATGTGAGCATCCTGGGTTCCGGCAGGGTACCGCGTAAACGTGGAAACGCAGAATATGGGACCGCGTAAAGTTAGGGTTGACTGTACAGTACTCATATTTAGTGTGGATTAGAATGATAAGGCAACAATTTATGCTGATAATTAGAGCCTTTGGGTAGAGGTGGGTACTTCCTGGGGAGTATGAGTAACCAGGAGGAAATCCACAGAGCATGACCCCAAGCTGAGCTTTCCCTTGTGCTATTGGCATGTTCTCATGTTAGCTGGATTATTTGTGATCTTTTGAAGGATATGCTCTGGAAGATGGAGCTGCTTGGGCATCCTATGGAGCATCTCCATGACAATAGCTTGGGTTTTGCACTCCAGCACTTCCTAGGTACTTAGGAAGAATTTCACCTATGGCTCATTTACTGTGATGAACAATGATAGGCAAACTGGTAAAACTGGTAATGCAAACTGTGAAGCTGTATGGATGGCCAGATTCCTGAACCTGACACGGAGCATAGCTTACATCCCAATGTCCATTATCGTGATGAAGGCTAGTGGATTTTACCAACATGGACTACAGCAGAGTATATTGTATTTATGCAAAATGGAGCTACTGAAGAAGGGCAAACACCTCAATAAATAAGCAGGCTTATGGAATGCCAGACATCTGGTGAGGAGGTACTGTACTCGAGGCATCATGAACATATGTTATCCTGCAGTTCATCCTGGTCAAATTAGCTAAGTAGTTTTTGCCCAAAGATGGGCAAAATGTGACCTGTTTAATGTTGTGATGTTTGGAGAAAACAGGTTCCTATTACAGTATGAAGGATTGAGACAGACCTGCCGGTAGCATCTCCCCATGCATTTTCATGCAAATGATGTATTTTAGTACAGTAATGATCTTGCTTTGCAAGAGTACCATTGTTAAAAATCAAGATGTTGACCTTACTTGCCAAATTGTCCATGATTTTCTCATTGGCAAGGTACAAAAGAACTCATTCAGGATTCCATGCACGGTCCTTAGCTCCTTGCATTGTAGTTGTTGTGTCTGCTTACAATACTGTAACCACTGAGAGCATAATCCTTTTCACATACTGACCAAATGACTTTCCTCTTCTAATTGAGGGAGGCCTGGTTATTTGCAGTAGTTTCTTCCCTCACAAAGTTCAGGAAAGAGCTTCTTTGGGTTTTGTCTAGTGTAGTGTAATGTTAAGAGATAGGAAATTCTGTTCAGACCTGAGAGGGTGGTTGGGTATGAGGATATTGATGAGCTTTTGTGTAGAGGTAGGCTGAGATGGTTCAGGTATATGAAGAAAATGGAGGAAGTCAATTGGGTCTAAAGGTGCATCAGTATTAATATGGAGGTAAGGAAGGATTGCTAGAGGTATGCCTAGAATATGGTAGGGAGTGGCTGTGAGAAATGATCTCAAGAGACAAGAACCTGATAAGAGAACCTGTAAAAGACTGTGCAGCTTGAAGAGCTGGCACCAGGTAATCACGGCTAATCCACACATCCATGGAAAATTGCCATAAAATGGTGTGATTACTCTTTCACTGTTGTTGCTCATGTGCTGTTGTTCCCCAAATGGCTCTCATGATCACCTATACTGTACTCAAACAGCTGTTACACCATGTAAATAGAAGTACAGTACCAATACAGTACTTTTTTCCTCAACACTGACCCTCACATCCTGGCATCTACAGCCCCCTCCACAACACAAACACACACACATATAAATAAATTATACTGCATTAATTTTTCAAAAAATCACAGGCTGCTTTAGAGGGTGTGGAAGGGTCAGAAATTATCTTTTAGCCAGAAATGGTCTTTATTGAGCTGATTGATACCTGTATAGATAAAAAGAACAACTCCTAGACAGTTTGTACTCACCATATATGTAGTTAATGGCCACGGTCTCGACAATGACAAGGATATAGATGATAAAGCCACCACCGAAGAAGTCCACTAGATCCAGAATCCATTGGCCACCCTGGTAGTAGGGGGTAATGGTGAAAACATACCTAATAGTCTTTGGCAAGCAAATAATTTTCAAAATAATGTTTTTTACTGATGGTGTTACATTCTAGTAAACTCTTGGAATGACTTTAAGGACCCTCACAATAGTAGCCAGACTAGGTATGCTACATAAGCATTCCACCTCTATCTCTGAATGCAAGCATTTCTTGCATGTTTATAGTTTTAATACAGGTTACAAAATACATCAATGGCTCCTATGTGCTGTCTGTAAGATGGTGGTGGTGGTGTGGCTACACATATGCAGTACTGTATTGGTAGTTAGGCTGATCATATTACTGGCATTGTGTAGACGAGAGGGAGTATTAAATAGCATAAAACTAACTGGTGTGATGTAGATGAGGCCCACAAGGAAGCCAGTGATGCAGATGGCGATGGTGGCATAGGCTTTATTTAAGGAGGGGAACTGTTCGCAGATGATGGTGATGATGTTGCTTGTGAGTCCTGCTGCTGATCCAACACCCAAGGTGAACAACATCAAGAAGAACAACACAGCAAACAGCTGAGGAGTGAATACTTTTAATTATATTGAGTAGATGCAGTATCTCAATATATTAATGATAATTACAATGCAATATTTGTGTTCTTCAAATATCTATATACAGTATGATTGTTTTTGTGCATTCAAACCTGTGTTATTATGAACATAATTATAGTTATAGTGCTGTGCAATAAGTCATAAATAATAAATGGCAGTGTTGCTGAGGCTGCTAAATTTTTACAGGAGTATTTAAAATGGGCTTTAGTATATTCTACATCGTATGTACATCCATATTTTTGCATAGAAGATAAGATGTCCTTGAGAATTAGCTACTTGTAGTCATCTTACCTGTGGTGCCCAAGTGAACTTAGCGAGGGCATCTGGGTAAGATACGAAGGCCAAGCCTGAGCCACCACGCACCACATTCTCCACATCAGTGTCCAGTTCATATGCCAAATTCCCCAGAATGGCGAAAATGGTGAAACCAGCTAGTAATGATGTCAATGTGTCTGCCAGACTGATGATCCATGCATCCCTGGCCACACGCACACATACAGAACACCGTTAGTTTGCAACATTACATTTCAAGAGCATTCTGTGTTTGGTTTTATGTATGCCTAAATTTACCCTATTGTAGGAGTGCCTGCAGATGCTGTTGAGTTTATTATTTATCATTTTACTTTATGATGACCCTTATTGAAACTGATGATATAGGGGCATTTTATCAGATAATGACACCAAAAACATTTAACAGGTAGTTCATCACTACTTTACTCCGACCTCATTTAGAATATATAATTTTCAGTAGCAAAAATAAGGTAAAGAATGTTAAAAGTATATGTCCTCCTTAATAAAAAAATGCTTAAATTTTTTTGTCATAGTACTGTACTATACGTATCTTTTTTCCATGATATGGTGTCAAACTTCTATTGGAAAATTATATAAATTTTTAAACAAGAAACATTACCTGTACACATTATGCTTAAATGAATTGAAAGAAGCTAAGTTGATGATAGCTCCAAAGCCGACAGACAGACTGAAGAAGGACTGAGCCACAGCAGCGTACCACACCTGTTGGCCCCCCAAACTTAATAAATATTAAGATAATGGCAGGAGCCCGTGGTTTCCTACCATCATAGAAACAAAATAGCCACCCCAGAGTGTTAAAATAATTCTAGGGGTAAGTACATACTAGAAAGACCATTGTAAATGCAGGTAATATCCACATAAATAATTGTCACACAAAAAGTCATTCAGCTTAATACACTCCACCAATCCAACACACAGCATCAATACACAAACACCAGTACACCTATAACAATATTTTTCATACTCTCCAACTATTTATTAGGTAGTAGGTAGTAGGCAGCTATCAAACAGGGAGGTACTACCGCCTGGGAAGATATTGGAAGCATAATGTGTTGTCTAATGGTAGACCCTGCTGCTATATGGCATCACAAATATTGCGACCAAGTCCCAGGTTGCTGATCTGACTTTCTGCCTCATTTACACACAATTGCAGGGTCTCAATTATTTCTCTTACTTTGACAACACAACATATATATCGTTTCTCCCTTTTGATTTTTGATTTTTTTTCCATTTCTGTATTTATTTTAGGTTCATTATTGTTTTTTTTCACCCCCCAGATCCGCATGTGGGTTAGTGATCTCTGCCGAGGTAGGCTGATCCCAATAAAAAGAAAAAAAACAAAACATTCTCTCCTGCAACTCCCTTCTATTCTCATTCTCTTCCCTTCCATGACCACACTCTACAAATCTCTCCACATGAAAAAATTAATACAAGTGAGCAAGTAGGAACTTGCTTACTTGAATGTTTTCGTGGGGAGATTTGGTTCAGTAGGAATTTGTGTGGTGACAATTTGTTCACCTTCCATTTTCTCATATGGGATTTTCATCATCATCATCGCTTATAGCTATTTTCCACACTTGCGTGGGTTACCCGTGGTTAACTAATGGCAGCTCTCCAAGTTGCATGGTCTGGTATTAAATTGTATGATATATTACACAATATCAGTTTGTCGTATGAAACTTTGAACACTCATTCTGTCCTATAACAGCATTGCATCCTGTTAATTTTATGGATTGGGAATTGTCCAGTACAGTACAGTACTTACATTGGGGTCAAGTAACTTGTGCCACTGTGGAGTAATGAAGTACAGAATGCCATCCACAGCACCAGGCAGTGATGCCCCCCGGCCCAACAGAGTGAACAAAACGACATAGGGGAATAGTGCTGTAAAGTACGCCACCTGTATCAAATGAAATAATCATCATGTAAAATAAGCATTGTTGAGTATAAAATAAGCAGGGCCTGGTGTAAATTAAGTAAGGTTTAGCATAAATTAATGAGTGGCAGTTGACCAAATACAGCTCTTGCCTCCTGTGTTAAGGGTCTTTTGCTCAATTCCAGGGCACTCCCAGTCCAACTAGTTGTAAATATGTACTTACAAGGTTGGTGAAATGAAGATGTGTAAGTGTAGTGCCTCTTAATGTACAAAATACTTAGTTTGCAGTGTGCTGTATTCACACTTCCTATTAGACAGCAATGCCTATGGGAATTACCCTCACGAGTATAGCTAATGTAGGGTTTGTTATAAATTAAATAATAACTGATACAAAAAGTTTCGAGAGTGGTGACCAAAGTTATAGGCAAAGAGGGTAGGCGAGGTTATTAAATGTAAATTCACAAAAATTTTATGATGGCACGATGGCATCCAGTAAGGTCTCAAGTCAGTATCTGCTTAGTAAGCTCAGCAGATATGGTACTGCTGTATTAATATGAAGATCCTATATATATATATTTATGTAACTCATCTCCAATAAAAGTTTTCAAATGGCTACAAAACTGGTGTCACCATTTAGACACCTCACTCACTAAGAGAGAAACAGGATCTACAATTATCCAGTTTATACTATTGATCCCAAAGGGTGATTTAATTTAAGTTTATGAACACCTCAAAGGACATTACTCAAGTAAATGTACATATCTGAAGTTAGAGGATGACTGTCCCACGTCAGGTGCAGCCTCAAATCAAAGAAGCTGTCAGTACAGAAAACTGCCCGAGCTAATTTATTTGGTGTAAGAGTTGTGAACTTGTAGACTATCCTGTCAGCAGTGTTTGTGACAGCTCAAAGTATAAGCTCTTTCAAGTTCAAGCTTGATAAACACTTGAACATATTCAGATACATTTAAGAGCCCAAGCATGCCCAGCACTTGCCAATAGTGCACAACAGAGAAGTAAAAGAATAAGAAAGATAATATATATACAGTACAGTATACCCAGGATGAAAGGCTTGAAGTTTGAAAACTATTTGAGGAAACTGAGGGTTCCATCAACAGAGTACTGGAGGATATGTAAGGATATGGTTAAGATCTTCATGATGCAAAGGATATATGATGAAAAGGCATGCCCACCAGTGGAACCACATACAGTACAGTATTGGCAATATGTTAGTTCACAGTTTTAGGCTGTTTAAGATACATCCGCACACCCAACTCAGACAAAATAACTTCTCATTGTGCGTTAAAGAAACGATCAGACAAGCATTAGGTAGATCAAAATATGATGTTTGACCAATCAGTCTGATTAAATGGTGAAAAGCTACTAGAGTACCTGCTACAGGATCAATGAGTGTCACAGAAGATACTAAAGAACTAGATATGTACTGAGAACTTTCATCCAATTCATACAGTAATGAATAAATCTGAAAGTGTGTTCTTGAAATAAACTAGATGGGGCCAGGTGTACATGAATAAGACTTGTCATGGGATACATTGTTTGGAGTAATGTGAGTAGGGTCATTTTACTTTTACTTTCGCTTTTACCCTCTTTGCCACTGATCCACTTGCAAGCCATTTGGTCAGTTGGTCATGTATCTGTTATGCACTGTTGGCAGGTACTGGTCATGCACTGGCTCCTGAATGTATCTGAACCTGCTCCAGTGCTGGTCAAGTCTGGTCTTGAAATAGTTCACACTCAGTGCCGTTACAACACTCTCTGAAAAAGTTTGCCCTCACAGTTATCTGGACTTGTGGCTTCTTCAACCTTGAGCTGTGGCCCCTTGTGAGGCAGGCATCAGAAAGCTCCAGGTATGGACACGTGAGTGAGTAGTGCCCTTTCAGATGTTAAACACCTCAATTAGGTCCTCCCTTGCCCAACTAGTGTAAGCTAGGTAGTTGCAGGAGCTCTAATCTCTCTGGGTAGCTGAGTTTGCCGAAGTGCAGGCACCAGTCAGGTGGCCCTTCTTTGGACATTTTCAATCAATTGACAGACCCTAGCAATCTAGCATACCTTGGGGACCAGACGGGGTGACACCTCACTCTTGAAGATCGTTACGAGGGATGGACTGTCTAGATATCTGAACAACCTTCTGATAAGACTTAATAATTTAGTTGCTTGATTCACCTTCTCACAGTGGCCCACGAACTTCAGCTCATTGTCAACATACACACCAAGGTCTTTTTTGCATTCAGTCCCTATTAAAGCAGTTTCTTCTTCCCATTGCGATTATGATATGCCTCCTTACTGTTGGTGTGTCCCAGGTGCATCCTTTTACACGTCATGACATTGAATTTTAGAAGACATTCCTTCGATTATTTTTTAAGCTCTCAGAGATCTTTCTGCAGCTTTTCACAGTCTGTTTGGTTCTTAATTTCCCTAAATAACTTAGCATCGTCCACAAACATTTGTATGGAGGACTATATAGCTTCTGGAATGTCATTTATGAAACAAAAAAACAACAATGGGCCCAATACACTGCCCTGTGGTACCCCGCTTGTCACAGGTACACATGACAATTTCATACCATTAATCACCACACACTGTTTGCGATCATACAGAAGATTTCCGATTCACGCTAGGTCACTTCCCTGAATCCCGTACACTTCCAGTTTAGTTTTCAGCCTTTCATGGGGTACGCTGTTGAAAGCCTTGGCAAAATCTAGGTACAGTATATATTGTCGATATTGCCACCCTGTTCCAGAATTTGGGTCCAAACATCCAGTACCTTGAGTAATTGTGTTAAACAGGAACGTCCCACCATAAAACCGTGTTGGCAATCCTTTACAGGGTTGTTTTGTAGTAGATGTTCCATCATGGTTGGTCAGGCTCACTGGTCTATAACATGGAGCGATGATTGCCCTTCTTGACTATATGACTCGCATAAGCCATTCCAATCACTGGGGACCCTTTGCTCATCCAGGCATCTACAGAACAGGATCTTCAGGGGCTCAGCAAGGTCGTTGCACAACTCTCTTTGCATTCTGGGATGCACCAAGTCAGGACCGGGACTCTTATAAATCTTTAGCTTTGACAATTTATTTCTTATAACCTCTTCTGAGAACAGAATGTGGATCAGTGCCTTGTCAAACCGTCTGTCCTCAAATCAGGGTTGTTATGATTTAAATCAAATGATTTAAATCACATGATTTAAATCGATTTAAATCAGAATAAAAATCATGATTTAAATCAAAATGATTTTTTACTAATAACTGTTTTCTCTTTTTATTCTACATGATTGAAAAGTATATGCAATGCAGCAGGTTAATAACATCAAGATGATTAAAGTGCTAAGACCAGGATATGTTCCAACTAATAGACATCAAATTGGAGGGTCTCTTTTGGATCAAGCCTACGATTCAGTGATTAAGAACTATTCAGAGGAACTTAGTGAGAAAACAGTTTGCATGGCCATGGATGGATGGAGTAATGTCCATAATGAGCCTATAGTATGTATAACTTTAATAGCGGACAACCGTATTTATCTTGTTGACTCTATAGACACAGAATCAAGACACACAGCTGAATATCTGTTGAAATTAGCTGAATGTGCTACAGAAAAAGTGTGAAGACAAATTTGGATGCACAGTGAAGGTTCCAAGTGTTCCCTGAAGAAAGCAGTGATGGGTAGGGAAACACCGGGTAACACTGAAGTCCATTTATTAACGGATAGGAGAAATACAAGTGATGACTAGCGTGTGCCATGCACGGCCCACGGAGTCAGACTGAGACTGCCTTGCCATATGGCAGCCTCGGGGCAATGTTGCCACATAACACGTGCAGAGTTGCCACGTAATTATATACATAGATGCTACTCGGCACAGTAGCTTATATC